ATCGGAAAGCATCTTCTCGAGGGTCTCGGCGTTAGCGTTTGTAGCGTTGGCCGCAGACGCTCCTTGTGGTGGTGTCGTTTCAACGTTATCGCGTTCGTCGCGAGTTTGGTTGTCACCAGTCATCGTTTCTCCGTTGGACATGTTGCGGCTTCGGTGTAAGATAGATCCGACCCCCCTCCTTCTAGCGCCAAACTGTGGGAACCGAAATCCACCTACTGTCAAATAATCGTAAATAAGGAAACTTCGGGAAAACCCTAAGTTTCCTGAGGAACCGGCTATCTGCAGAACCGCACAACGAATATTAAGAAAACGATGAACTTTAAAATTAAAACGAAAATAAATGAGATTGAAAGCAAGAAGGTTCTTATTCCGAATCTGCGTAAGAACTGGTACAAAAGAGAGGCCTAAGCTGCGTGAGCCGTCGGCAAAATCCTTAGAAATCTAAGAACGAAAACCCTAATTGAGACGCAGCTCGTTAACAGAAAACGGAAATATTCCTAAATGCTAATTTCTGGTGGTGAGAGCTCTGAAAATCTTGTCCTTTGCTTCTGCCCTAGACCTCCTATTTATATACTCCTCGCCTTAGTCATTCGGTCTTTCCATTTCGCCCAGATTTGACTATATCGGGAATTTTCCATTTTTCTCGGTCCCTCCTTTTCTTCCGCGGAAATCTTCTATTTTTCTTCAACCTTTCCTTTTATCTTCAAACTTGACTTTTATTTTTCTCCTGCGAGTAAACCGCCAAAACGTTATCGAATCTTCGGGTTAGATTCCGTTAAGATCGCGAGACGGGTTTTTATCGTGTTTTAAGACCTTCCGGGCCGTTTTGCGATAAATCTGTTTTCCCACTTTTTACGGGATCGTGTCCTGATCTGATGTCGTTTTTAATAAATTCCTCAAGCTAATCGTAAGGTTTTACAGTTTACTCGACTTTTTAATTAAAAACGCGTTTTTTACGATTTACTCGACGTTTTTATTAAAAACGCGTTTTTCATGATTTCAACGAGAAATCTCGAATAAATCGTATGTTTTAGGCAATGTTCGGTGTTCCGTTTAACCGTCGCCGTTTTATACGATATCTTCGAGTTCTTTATCGAGAAAGCGAAGTTTTACGGTTTTTATCGTAAAACTCGAACGATAGGTCGGATAGAGATGGTATGGGAGATGTTTCGGCCGTGGTTCAGAATGTGACTGTGTCAAAAGACGTAAGTTTCGAATCGGGAATGCGGGACACCGAGGCTCGGGACGTCCAGGAAGTCTCTAGTTCGTCCAACGACGAACTAAGCCGGCTGGCTTAGTTCGCCCGTGGGCGAACTAGTTAGGATGGGACTAGTTCGCCTACCGGCGAACTAAGCCGGGCCGGCTTAGTTCGCCGGTGGGCGAACTAGTCGAGTGTCTCCTAGTTCGCCCATCGGCGCACTAAGCCGGGCCGGCTTAGTTCGCCGATGGGCGACTTAGTCGAGTGTCTCCTAGTTCCCCCGTGGGCGAACTAGTCGTGACTAGTTCGCGTTTTACGGCTGTTTTGGTTTTTTGCGGTTTCGTAAAACGATTCTCGAGTTTATAAAACGATCTTCGATTTTTATAAAACGATCTTCAGGTTTTATAAAACGGCTTCTCAAGTTTTTTAAAACGATCTTTAAGTTTTATAAAACGATCTTCGAGTTTTATAAAACGGCTTTTCGAGTTTTATAAAACGATTCTCGAGTTTTTTAAAACGATCTTCGGGTTATATAAAACGGCTTTTCGATTTTTATAAAACGATTCTCGAGTTTTATAAAACGGCTTTTCGATTTTTATAAAACGATTCTCAAGTTTTATAAAACGATTCTCGAGTTTTATAAAACGATCTTCGGGTTTTATAAAACGGCTTCTCGTGTTTTATAAAACGATTCTCGTGTTTTATAAAACGATTCTCGAGTTTTATAAAACGATTCTCGAGTTTTATAAAACGATTCTTTGAGTTTTATAAAACGATTCTCGAGTTTTATAAAACGATCTTTGGGTTTTAT